AAAATATCACTTTTTACCAAAAATGACAAAAATATTCACCAAAATTAGAGAACTTAAAGATATCATTACAAAATGAACAAATCTAAGAGAGATCCACATGTAGTACCTATATATGTAATATCAAAGCAATTGAACTTGCGGTTTTTAACAAGAAGTTGAAAATATCACTTTTTACCAAAAATGACAAAAATATTCACCAAAATTAGAGAATTGAAGATATGATCATGAAATGAACAAATCTGAGAGAGGTCTACCCAAGGTACACCAAGTATCAACACATTCAGGCTTGTAGTTTTCAAGAAGAAGTCGAAAAAGTAAAACATTGACACGGACGACGACGGACAATCACTCATATGATAAGCTCCGCTCGACAAAGTCAACAGCGGAGCTAAAAAGACATTGGCATATCTATTCACACAATGCAAACAAAGACAAAAGAGTGATCAGCAAAAACAAAAGGTTTTTAATTCTTTTAATCAATGGGAAGAAGCAGAAGCAGAAGCTCGGCTCCTGTAGAATGATGCCGTGTAAACATAGCATATGTAGATGTTACTGGATATGCTAAAGTGTACACCATAAATCAGGATGTGTTCTTACAGTTTGGATCAAGAAACCTGTGATTAACATTTGACATTTTGCATGTTTTTTTAAAACCACGGACCCTATTCTTTGTGAAGTGAAGTCAAACTCAGATAACTTGCTTTTCTTGTCTTGTGCTTAAATCGTACTACCACATGACACAATGGACCTGATTAGTCTATTTTTGACTACCTTGTATTCTTAGCTAATCCGCGTGCATGTGCTATGTTCGTTTCATTTCGACATTATGCTCATCCTGTATGTTGATGTTGTGTCGTCAGCCTCCAGTGACAGTATAGTGGTGTCCTCATCGTCAGCATTCGAGGTAGTTACGGTGGTGTCTTCAGTCTCCAGTGCGGTGGAGCAGATGTCACTTGGGTTTTCACTCGACTTGTCTGTTGTCGACTCGTCCGACTTTGTTTCGTAGAGGGACTGTGTTTCGTAGTAAAAAATACGGTTTCTGCTATTCAGAAACTTGCAGGTTTCGCCTGTCATTGGAACACTTTTTTTCCAATTTTTTCCCTGTGCCATTTTTTAAAATAAACTTGGTCAAAACAAAATAAATGAACAGTAATATACAGTAGAGAAAAGCGATGCGATGAACTCTCAGCAACGAGTGAGTGTATCCGGTCATTTGACCGGACACGTACACGCGATGTTTATTTGCGGGATTAAGCTAATTACAAATGTTATTGTTTTGGCTCAGAGGGGCTTAGCTGAAGTGCACATTCCCGGGATTTCTGTTAATTGTAAATTATTTTTTATTTTTTAAAAAGCCGTTTTTTTCTTGAAATAAAAACGTTTAAAACAGTACTAGCAAGGTTTCGAAACATTACAATACTATCGATTCAAAAATACAACGGGAAATGTGCTGAAAAACGAAAAATTACATAAACTTAACAAGAAATTTTCCGATTTTCAAAATTCCAACTTTCCCGTTCACACAAACACGATTCCTCTACGTATAAAAGATCTGCGCATGCTTTATGTCCTTTGGCTTTTACTGCGACACCATAAAACAAGACCTTGGAATGTGTACTGTACGCAGCAACGCTTGGGAGAAATGACGCGATGATCCTGGGGTGAAAGGACGATAAGACAAAGGGAATTATGGGATTAAACTTGACTAAAACAAAAGAAGTTTAGGAGGATTATTTGGGCTGTGACTCCTTCTCTTTTTACCTCCATGATTTGACTGACAAATTTAATTATCCATGCATTTTGATCAATGAATAAAAGATGCATATTGAAATGTGGTCAACATGCATTTTTTTTCTTGTATACTCCTGGATTTAAACGCTAAACTTATATCATTTGACCATGGATGACATTTTTATAATAATTTTGACAGGAACCAGAAAAAAACACATACACTGCTTGACCAGAAACCAATTATTGTTGGCCATAAAAGATGGGATTTTTGTAGATTTTGTAGTATTTCCTAGTCAATGTACTACACCATGAAACACATGCTTTTGTTGCATAGTGTCTTTCCTCCAGATAGTCGGCCATTATTACTACCTAGGCCAAAAATGATTATCTTCAGAGTTATGATGATTTAAATGAGAAACCATAAACCTGCGAAGGACTTCTGTTTGTGCCATCTTGCCAT